TGATTGTTTCACAATGTTTAGGGTTTACTTTTGTTAGAATATTTTTAAACAACTATTTAAAAAACGTAAATACAAGATATATAAGCCAAACATCGAATCATGAATCACCGATTCATGTTTAAAAATATCAGCCTGTGCAGTTTATCTCAAAAAACAATCATCACCTATAATATTAGGTATGCGTTATAATATCGATCGTTCACAATTTGATACTCACCCCTTTTGTTGAGATGGTCCTCGATCATTACCGAGCTAATCATGTACACGTTACCGATGCTACCGATGACGGACAGGCCAATCATGATCAACAGCCTGGCCACCCTACTCCATTCCATGCTCAACGTTACTGGTGATACGACATCACTGTCAACCAACGGCCCGTCATTTATCATCGTCGTACTCATAACTGACTCTACAATGGCCTTGGACGTTTGGTTTATCACGTTTGTCACGTTAGCCACACTGCTTTCATCAAACATAGCGTTCTGAAATTTAAAATAAAGAATAAAAATTATACATTACGATGCTAAAAAAATGAATAAATGTATAAATGTACCTCGGTTATTTAGTCTATATCATTTGATACTTAAAAACATTACTATTATTTTAATATTTTTTARAAACTGTATCTAGATATAAATGTTATGTATTCATTCATAATATAACGCATACATTGATACAAGTACAAAAATGATTTCCTATGCATTAAATTTTAAGCTGGGTCAAAAATTCATGTCTTAATGTCTAKTGATTTTACAGTTATAATTTGTACTTTAGACTTTWTCTGCGAAAAACCCTTATTTTTTAAATGCACAACCTTGAGTCGCATTAAAACAATTATGCATTTCATAATATAGTTATTAACTTTTTGGTTACTTTTTAGAATTTAAAAAAATGTCTTRTCCGTATTATTAAAATCACCACTGTACCTATTATGTACTGTTAATTACTAATGTTTGTACAAAGCAGTCGTTATAAGCTACGTGCTGACGACGTGGCGCCGTTATTTTAATAATTTTTTTTATTATTATATAGAAGTTCAATAAATGAAATTTAAACACGCTATTGGCTAAAATTGAGGAGTAAAATAATTTCATGTGACGCCGTCGCAAGAGTTGATTAACTCTGAACAGATCGACGTCAGACACATTTCGATGGTCGGCGCCATACTTTAGCCAAGGATTCTCTGCAAAGAATATATACGACAATGAGGCACAGGCGGGTGTATAGCAGCTACTAATAAAATTCCTTTTAATGAGTTTCTGGTGGAAAACGACCTTGGAGAAAACGTGTCGTATGCGTGCTTTAATAAACATGTCAAACCCCGCCACTGACGACGCCATGGTTGAAATAGATCGATCTGGAATTGACAAAGAGAGAGAGAGAGAAGAAATGGAACAGGCAAGTAGAAAACCATAAACGTAAACAAATATACGACAAATACAATTATAATACTAATGAATGAATGTCATCTGCACTGAGCATTATGAGTAGCCTGCAACTGAACAAAATGTTCGCTGTGATGTGATGAAGGCGTATTTTATYAAATTCTCCTATTTATATTTGACCTTTACAGTGTTGTTGATAMAAAGAAATATATTTATAAATAATAAAATAATAAATAATTCAATAATGTTGACGTCGGTGGTGAARATCACATACCGATGTATGATGTATGATGGTTAAGTTGTGTAAGATTAAAGTATAGGGCATGCACATTAAAATAAGATATAMTATTTTTATATGCCTCAGTAAATATGTGATTACCGTTTAACAACAAGACGTATTACCACATACACCTATAATCCACAAAKATATTAAATTTCTAAATCTATTATACTTATATATTATGAAAAAATATGTTGTATAAAAGGAAAACCTATTGTCTTCRATATGGATTATTGATTTTTATCAGGAATTTGATTAAATGTTGAAAATAATKTTTAAACCTATTATAGGTATATACYGTACATTTAAACAAATCTTACTATAAAATACTTTTTTATTTCATATTTTCATACAACAGAATTTTATTACATAATAGATATTAAAATATTCACCACAGTAATGTTTATTCAGTTTGATATTATAATGATAATAGATACTAAACTAGAGTATATAGGTTTATAATATATTACCTACCTCTATAATATAAAATATACATTACGTACATCAATTTATATTTTTATTCATATGTTTTATAGTGTGTTATAAATTATAATGCATGATACGTATACTGTGTGTATTATAACGTTGGATGTATGAAAACAAAATATTATATTATGTCACGTGACACGTGTGGTCAATATGAATAAAATAWGTTGGACGATGGTTCGTTATGGCTGGATGACTTAAATCATGTACGATAGGAAAATTAACAAGTCGTGTGTCAAGCTCTTGGGAATGATTTTTTAACCTTTTTTTCTGTAGGTATAACAGAATAATTCAAATTATATTATAATTTATAACWAATTTYTAAATGTTTTTGTAACGTAAATATTGTTAAGTGAACGCGRGTGTTAACGTTTATTAACCCTTATTATAGAAATACTGGTTCTGWATATAATTATAGAATGCAAATAATGAAAGGAACAACGTAATCAATACGAGGTTATGATAATAATAATAATAATATTTACATCAATAAACAATTATAATCATACCTAATTGTGTATGCTTAAAGCGCGTGATATAATTTTTTTTTTTTAACACTAAATATGTCATTACAAATTTAACAATATATATTTTGCATTGAAAAATGTTTTGACAAATCATAAGTTATGCGAAAAAATAATATTGTCACCAGCTATTTATACGGCGTGGTTTTATGTATATTATACAATTTATTTATCATATTATATTTATTATTAGATTGGAATACCTATAAATTAAAACCTAAAGATRAATATTTAAAAACCTTTTAAATTTATTGTCTATAATACATCACTAATAGAGTATAGTAAGTTGGTTTCAGTTATATCATATAATAGGGAAATAAACGTTTTTATACACGATACGCCTAATACAATTCATAAATCATAACAATCGATTATTTTATTTTTAAGTTAAGTTAGATTATTGTCTATAGATGGTACTCACTTCAGTGTTTTGTTGTGATYTTAAGGCGACTTCGCATTGCACCGTGATAACTTGAACTGATATAAAACGTTGATTTACAGTAATTTTTAATTACGATGACGTGATTCAAGTGTTCGTATTGTTCGTAGAACTTTTACTCATAGCCCGGCCTATGCTTTACCAAATATATTGGTTGTCACATCTGACATAGCCCGTTTAGTATACATATTATATATATATTGTACTGTATCAGAGTAACTGAATAACCGAAAAGCGCCACCTATCTTGACACGGTAGAAACGTGAAGAGAGCAGGTCTATTAGAAAAATGTCTTGATAAAAGTAAATGGTTAGTGGTGACTGTTATAAAATAAACCATGGCCCATGGGCCATGAATAGTATTGGACTCCACTCCCTAGTATACGAAATACATTATGGTAACATTGCAGTTACCGCAATACTGCTTACTAACTGCTAGATTCAGCCAATCACAGCGCTGAATTTTTTTTTTCTGGAAATCATGGTTCACGGAGCAATGTGAAATCTACTTAGCTTGTGCTAGAGATCCTCGATATTAAAAAGAGCGGCCAACAGGTGTGATAGCAGCCATTAATCGTTCTAATGTTTACCATCTTTTTTAAATTTAAACTATTTTAAACACTTCAGTTAAAGCCATTTGTATATTTTAGCTCATGACCTTGTTATACCTAGTATTGTAAAGTGTTTGACTAGGTATTGGTATTCAAATACTTCTACAAGTATTKAATATGTACATATTTTAAATACAGTTTATTAAAAAGTATTCAAGTGCATTTTAAAAACTACTTTATTCTATTGAACACTTTCCAATAAAATACTTTTTTTCCAATTAAAATCAGTGTCAAATAAAATCAATAAGCCGATTAAAATTATTTGGAATACACTATTAACTTAAAATGTATAAATAATCATGATAAATTAATGTTTTTTTTGATAAACATTAAATTGACGTAATTGATGTTAGTATATGTTTATAATTTTATAATGTATTCACCAACATAATACGTATATTGTTCTTCATTGCTATTATGAATAAGKATGTAATAGGTTTTCATAACATTGGTTACCTAGGACTAGATTTTTATGTTTTAACATATTTTTATTGAAAGTATGCAACTCAAATTGGATAAGCTATCTAAAATGAATATTTKAATATCAAATAAATATATTTTATTGACATATATTATCRACATAATAATTTTAAAATGCAAAAATTRAAATTAGACCATTTCCGCCAATTTCGATTTAATACTTCATGATTGATGCACAACAATATGTATATTRTAATGCTAAAAGTTCAAAATTAAGAATACTTTACAATATAATGCAATATCATAATACTAATWCAGTTCTACATTAAAACAGTATTAGGTATAGTACTTGAAAGTATAACAAAGTGGTAGGTACTTACTTTTCGATTAATATTGAACGATYTCAAATTTTTAACAAATAAACTCAAAGTAATATATAAAGTATAAATATTYGGACGATTATTAGCGTCCATGATCAATGATAACAGCYTGCCAATAGAAAAYGATCTCCGAGTTGGTCACTGTCTTTAATATCGAGGCTTTCTAGTTTTTGCATTAACATAGTTTGAAGTATATTATCTATATCACATAAAGTTTTTGGTAAGTTTATCGGAAATAAATACCTACATAATAAATATGACTTTTACGCCTTTACGGTGCATTTATAATAAGAACGAATAGTATCAAAGACAATCGATTACGTTTCATAAGTCATAACATTTATACATGGATGTTTCTAATTCATATTACAGTATAATATCTACAGCATCGAGGATTTGTGTATTATACTAATATGTATATATTATGTAAATGATCCCGTAWAAATGTATAAGAAAAATCAAGTGGTAAGTGCATAATGCATACTAAATTTTTCAAAAATTCAACAGAACGAATGGTTTCCACAACTTCCATGAAACGCACAACAAACATAAAACACAGATTAAATTGTATATCTAATGCGGGTTTCGTTATGTTTACTGGAGTACCGTCATCAAATAACAAAGGGCATCTAATGAAAAGTAAATAAATACGTAAAATAAAGCGAAAGGAAATTATTATATTATATCATTGCCATCATCGTAGGGTAAAAAAAGTATTGTACTGCAAATTTTAGGTAGTTATTTAAGGCTGTATGCCAATAATATKCTAATGATCAACAAATTAATACGAACTCAAAAATTTAAGCTAAATAATTTAACGTAAAATTATCGCAAATCTTCAAAACAACTTATATGATTCTAGACGTGAGTCATCCGAGTTTCCGACAACTCTTCGTCGACATGATCTACTGACTAACGACTCTAAATTTACTCTAAGTTATACTGTCAAATGATAATC